AAGGAAGACGGATCTAACTGCCCTGCCTGCGTCCCTCCCACCTGATCACCGAACCACCAGCCACTCCACCTGGCTACAAATGGGCATCTTCAATACAATGGCCTATACCTGGCGATATAATGCTATATACCTTGTCATGGCTCTCATGACTACTTGAATATGTCCAATGATACCAATGGGTCACTATAAGTTGACCGTCTCACCGACTATGTCAACTTCCTGCATCGAACATGCCAGACACACTCTGTGGAGTCGCTATCCTCCCAATAGTAAAGGAAGACGTCCATGTCCTGCCAGGAGGAGCTCAGCTATTTGGGACCCCGGGGTTGGACAAGAATTGCGAACAGCCATCAAAAACCAGGGATGTAACCTGATGTAACCATCAAAAATGGTACAATGATGTACTTGTATAAGTGTATAATGATAGTCTTTTTGGGACCAAATATGATTGATTTTGGCTTAACCAGCATGAAGCCCGGGGATGGATCAATCAATTGCCTCTGCCACCCCAGAGCCAAAAAAACCATCGGCGCCGACGGCTCTGAGGCTCAGAGATCAATCGAATTCAATAGGATGAGTTCTGTTTTTCGAAAATCTTCACCGGAAACAATTGGGTAGTTTTTACCATCAAAAATATTCAAGTGTGTTCCATGAGAAAACTTTTTATATCATCCAAGTCTGGGAAGATATGCTCTGATCCTCAATTTTCGGTCATCGCAAACGATAGGATGAAACACGACAATGTATCATATGGGGGGTCCATAGTCATGGTGGGATACCACCAAAAAGATGGTTTCTGATGGAAAATCCTATTGAAAATGGATGATTTCGGGTACCACCATTTAAGGAAACCTAATATATGCTACATACATCCCTAAATATCACTGGGTCGATGTTTGCTCAATTTAAATCTGTTGTTCCCCACCTGCCAGGTGAGGGTTGTTAGATTTTATCTAAGTTGCCTGGTCCTCCTCCTCCTCCTCCTCCTGCCGCCTCCTCCTCCTCCTCCGCCTCCTCCTCCTCCTCCTCCTCTCGTTGTCCTCCTCGTCCTCCTGCTCAACTGCGACTCGCGATCCACAGTGTTCGCTGTCGGACCTCAACCACGACCATCCACGCTCAGTGTTCCCTGCCGGACCTCAACCACGACCATCCCCGCCCAGTGTTCCCTGCCGGACCTCAACCGCGAGTATCCCCGCCCAGTGTTCCCTGCCGGACCTCAACCACGACCATCCACGCCCAGTGTTCCCTGCCGGACCTCAACCACGACCATCCCCGCCCAGTGTTCCCTGCCGGACCTCATGAGATATGCCAGATAGAATGCCAGAAGATATGCCAGATGGAATGTCAGATAGAATGACACAAGATATGCCAGATAGAATCCCAGAAGATTTGCCAGATAATATGCCAGAAGATATGCCAGAACATATGCCAGAAGATATGCCAGATAGAATCCCAGAAGATTTGCCAGATAATATGCCAGAAGATATGCCAGAAGATATTCCAGATAGAATGCCAGAAGATATGCCAGAAGATATACCAGAAGATATACCAGAAGATATGCCAGATAGAATGCCAGAAGATATGTCAGAATATATGCCAGAAGATATGCCAGATAGAATGCCAGAAGATATGTCAGATAGAATGCCAGAAGATATGCCAGATAGAATGCCAGAAGATTTGCCAGATAGAATGCCAGAAGATATGTCAGATAGAATGCCAGAAGATTTGCCAGTAAGCAAATGTAAAAATGTCACGGTGGGGATCACACGAAGTAAAGTAATTTTTCGTTGGTGATTTTCCTATGGATCTCCTCCATTCCCAGGATCCGCTCGGTCTTTTGGTAGGTCCTTGGGCATCAGGGGCCATGCCAGATGAGTTTGTAACATCCACTCATCCAAGATTAGTTTGCGCCGGTTTCTATCAATTTTTGATCCTTCCCCTTGATATGAAAAACATCCCCCAACCATGGTGAATTGTGATTTACACGCATTGGACCATACAATCCAGGTGCTTTTTTTGTAAAAGGGGAATGGGATTTCTCCATACTCTCACTGGAGACATCCCGATTGGCTTTGTCCCCAATCGTGGGTCCCCGAAAATCAGGTGGTTGAGCGCTATACCCGGCTATACCCAGCTATACCGGCTATACCCCATTTTGGGACAACGCCCAAAAGATATCAAATAAGCATAAATAGGCTATGTCTCCTATTAAACATATGAATTTTCTCATGATATCCCCATGAAATCCCCTTGGGGTTCATCCTTCCTCCGAGAAAAAACCGAGCCACTTCCGGCTGTGGTTAGTGCCCACTTCGACCTTGCATGGGATTTAGGGATGCATTATCAGGCATACCCAACTCAATCTTTAGGACTGACCCAAGAAATAGCGTGTAGAAAAAAAGAGAAGACAAAGTTTGTTCATTCCAAGGAACCGGATATGTTCATCGTTTCTATACTACATCGTCCTATTCAAAGGGTTTTAACCTGGATATATTCTAGCAAGTTGTGATCCCATTTTTTGATGATTGAACTTGCCCATGTGGCGTCCAACTTTGACCCCTCATATGATAGCATCAACCAACCGGCATATCCGAACTTGACTACAGTAGAAATCACATCAAGGATGCTCTTCTAGGGCGAACCATTGAACATTGGGCCATCAAGCCATCATCCCAGCCCCCAGTATTAAACAGCACCAGAGAAACCCATGGTTTAGGGGATGAAACCACATATTTGGGACCATAGAATGGCGATGGGAACCTACTAGGGAGGAAAAAGATGAATCTGCCGTACCTTGGGTCCGCCTCTGGTCTAGTAATCCCTCATCTCCGACATGGCTTTAGAGCTTCTCTGGAGAAGGTAGATGGAAACCATTCTGAAGCAAGTGCTACATCAAGTCACACTATTCTTTGGAGCTTCTGTCATCCTTGGAAAACAAAAAACTTTGAAGAGTAAGTGAATATTACACAGAAACTGCTACAATAAGTATGGAAACTTCAAATAAGAAGAGATATGATGGGAATTTATCACAACACCTTGGAAAATCAGATTAACGTCTCCATCCCCGCAGCTAAGCACCCGGCATAATCGCCCACCTCGGATGGATACGTATGTATGTATATATATATATGTGTGTGTGTGATGTATGATGCTATATGATGTATACTACATAGTGTATGGTATCTATTGTGTAATACACGTATGACGTCATACTCTATATATATATTTATGTGTGTGTATGTACGATCTTATATCATATTGTATATAAAGGAGAGAGAGAGAGATATCCAAAAATATATAGAAACAAAGTCATTCATCATTATTCTTCATTCTTCGTTTGAGTCGGATTTGATGTGTCGGACCGACTGGGGCTTCGCCAAGGTGCCAAAGTGCGGATGCCAACCTCCTTCACTGATGACTTCGAGAATACCACCAGGGTTTCGGCCGCCTCCCAGAGATCGATGGATCCCCAAGAAAAAATGGAGGAATTCACCACGAAAACTGGGGATTTCATCTGAATTTATCCATGAAAAAGTTGGGACTCAATAATCTCAATAGGAATTATCCTTCTGAAACTTCAGTTATTTAGTCCTATTTTTCTGAAAAACGTATGTGAGTATTATGGGATTTTATGGCGATTTTTTTGAGGATTTAACCATCAAGGTGGGGGGACACTATACCAATTTCATAAACCACAAGTTGATTCTTGTGCCCAAGTAAGGATTTGTTCAGAATATGTGGGATCTCTCAAATCCCCCGAACTCACCCAAAATCCCGCAAAAAGAAGTCGTAAATCAGCAAGCCATTCTGCCAAAATAAATCAAAAGAAAAGCCATCCAACATCAACCACATATTTTCCCTGGTCTGCCAAATATCTGCCAAATATCAACCAGTGATATGTTTCATGATTAAATTCCCCGTTAAAATCCCCCAGGAAAAAAATACACGGGCTCGACGATCTTAAGCCCAGCCATGCCCAGCCTGACGAGCCGCCATGGCGCCGCAAAAATGGCCGCGACGATGCGACTGTAGACCAATGTTATGGTATTGCAGTATATGATATATTATTACTCTACTAATGTTGTGTATACCATTATGTTAACCTATGTTAATTTGTTTATTGGACTATTTTTTTTATACCAAAATTATTATATGGTGTGGTATCTATACTAATATTCTATGTTATAACAACTATAATGATAAAGATTCATTGTGTATCTTATAGTTGGCGATTCTAAGTTATGGTATCTATATACCAACGTTTAATCGATATTAGTATCATCAGTTGTACCCGAAAAAACTCATGGGATGTCATGGGATGTCATGGGGGTTCCAGCAAGCTTTGGCTGCGACCCAACTTGGAGGCTTTCTCATCTCGGTAAACCTATCTTGAATTCATGTTCAATGCTGGCTGGTTGATGAAAAAATTGCCTGTTATCGTTGGATATTGCTGGTATATGCTGGTATTCATATCATATCCCAGTCTGTCTTTGTCCGCCATCACAACACCCCAGCAACGTGCTTGAAGTCATGAACCCAGATGTGGGAGTCTGATGGATTTGCTAGTCCCAAGCAGGTCACTAATGGATTTTGACCATCCCCAATATATACAGCACAATCCCCAACACATCCCATATAATAGAAAGGGTAGTATCATCCCATATAATTATATAATCATCAACCAAGAGTGGTTTTGAACCGCCCAAATCCCCAGGAAACTCTGCTCAAACCACTAGTTTCTTGGGGTCCAAACACCACTTGATTTTGGTAGCAGCTGCGCAGAGGATGACTATGCGTTGCCTGTAGCTACGTGTGATGTTTGATGCCGAAATCCATTCGTTTTTCTCCTCACTTCATGGTTGAAAACAGAACATGAAAATGCTGTTTAAAAACAAAAGTTCATAAATTTGGTTGCAGAAACAAAATATGTTGAAATGACCACTATAACATCAAGGTTGTATATTTCTTTTGGGATGTGTTGGATATAATGAAAACTGAACCCTCAAATCATCCTTGGTTTTGTGGGTGAAACGGGGTCGTCGTTTCCGCGGGGTTCAACCGGACGAAGACCTTTTCTGCCTGCGGCGCAAGTGACGTTGGAGAACCGCGTGAAGAGGTTTCTGGTGGTGTATAACTAATATTCAGACCTGTTTGGTTTATCGTGGATATATGAATATATATATATATAGAGTTGTATAGTCTATATACACTATATCTGCAGTGAAGTAGTTGACACAAGAGGTTCAAGAGCGCATGTGCAAAGGCAATGAAATTTGGTGTCGGCGGACACAACGCGACACAGGGGCGTGGCGTCCAGACGTGGAGCAGGGAGCAAAGGCAGGGCGTTGTGTGGAGCAAACTGGATCATAGTGGCACATTCCTGGTGGGATTCGCAACAGTAAACCCTATTAATGTTACGTCATGTTACATCTACTTCGTAGAAAGCAACTAAATCTCGGTAAGCAACAGAGTACGTGGGATCTCATGCAACGCTGGCAATCTCCATGAAGAATTTTTACAACGATCACTTGCGACGAAGGGTCCTCTAAGGCTCTCTCAATTACGTGTTGATTACATGCCTCGTGGTACACCGACGAAACAAAGAGCCACCTTACAATGCCAATGGTCTTACCTTTTAGGATCTAGGGGTGGGAGGGAGTGATAATGGTTTAGGGTCTAAGTGCGTTTCTAATCATGTGCCAAACCTGACAATACGAGTACCAATGGTTCTACCTTTTAGATCGTGCCGATGGTTTTATCTTTTAAATTAGGGTTTTGGGGAGGTTAGGGGGGGGTAGGGTTTTAGGGTAGGGGGGTGCACGACGTCACAAGCGACAAGAAAAACAGCGTCACAAGCGACGAGATAGACAGCGTCACAAAGCGAACGCTTCACCCGTCTGCAAAAACGATCTGCAGCGTCAAAATCTGAACGTTGTTGGTTTCCGGCACTGGCTCTTCAGCTCAAATTTCAAGCCACAATTTGACGTGACGCTACCAATATGTATAGTAATGTGTATATATATATAATTCTTTTGGAATGGTTCAGACAAACCACATCTACCCAATGTAATTGGCTCATGTGGGAAACCAAAATTTGCTTACAATATCCCAAGATGATGTAACGTTGACAGTTGCTTATTGCATATGACTCTGACTCATACCATTGATACTGGAGGATGTTTCTTTAGGATGAGTTACCACTTAGCATAGATGCCACTCACCTCGCAATCACACGGGAAAAATGGACAGATTGGTGGTTTCAACCCATTCCAAAATACTAGTCCTTGGGAATCATCATTCATCGTGCAAAATATGATTGACAACAAAGAACTTGAAACCACCAGATTATAGTTAATACATTTAATTTATATTCTATATTATATTATATTATATTAGATTATATTAGATTATATTATATTATATTATATATATATGTATATATATTTATGTATGTGTCCCCAGTTTTATAGATGTTATATCAGTTACATCCCCATTTGATCGCTTCAACCCTCTCAGCTCGGCCTCAGAAAGTTGCGGAGCTCATCCTCAGAGAAGGCCGTCTCCTTCGCCACCTGCTGGTCCTGCGTGGCAGTGGTGACAGTGGAGGAAGACTCCACCCTCTAATGGTGGCAGATTATACTATTAGTTATAGTATGTTATAACAAATCTATTATAGTATGTTATAGTTATAGATTATAGTATCTTATAGTTTATAAATGTTTATAATGTGTTGTAGCTAGGAAGGAGAAGACTGTGTTATAGCTAGAATCCATAGTGTTTCTCCATGATCCACCATTATCCTAGCTATACGTACTCGCGGTATTATGATAAACATTGAGAACATATATCAAGCCTTGATAATGAAAGCACCAATAACTGTCCCGGAAAGTCATCAAAGACATGATACGAGAAAAATGGGAGAGACTACGCTGCTGAAGCTCCCCATTTTCCTTGCGAATTGGGGAAGGTTGAAGATTTGGATCCAGAACAATCCTGCAACTTTCAGAATGCCAGTTGGGAAACGGACCTTGAAACACAGAACCTGTCCAGTTGTGAATTGTTGAATTGTACGCTAGGTCATGTGTTTATTCTCATCGCTTTACACCCGCGGAATCATTCAAATATCATCTCCAACCACCTGTCAACACCCTGTCCAGTCAATTTCACCCCATCGAACAACATTTTCTTAGGGTGTGAAAAAAGAAAAACGTCAAATCCCCCCGCAAAAAAAAAAAACACTGTGCACTGGTCTAGTCGGCTACTTTTTACATATACAGTAACCCCAATAAAACAGGAGTTGAACTATTGCTGGTCGCCATGACAAAGCGAGCCATTGGCTCCTGTCGTTTCTGCTCGGCTTTGTAGCTGTCTTGCAACTTGTGGTACTGCCGCTCACTGAAGCGTCCCGAACCTGAGGGAATTCCGGAGTTTGCACCGCACCAGTATCACTTGGTAGCTACCATGAATCTGAAGTATGTACAATAAACGGTCCCCAGTATAAACCATCAATGACAAATTGACATCTCCCAACTACTAAGCATAGTATGCCGCAATTGGATCAAGGGACACTTTAGAGTAACTTTAGAGGCAGACCTTAAGTTTCACGTGGCAAAACATGGTTTCCTGCCAAGCAATAAAATTATAGTACATGGTGGCTTCCGTCTCGGGTGAACTCAGTCCTTGGATAGTCTAGATATATCATGGATTATCATGGTCTGGCGGTGTCCCCAGTGGAATGTAAACCCTTGGGACCAAAAAAATCGGGGAAAATGTGGAGCTGCAACAGCTGCCACCAGGAACCCCCGCCAAAGGATGATGGCTCGATGTTTTCGAAGACTGGTTTCTGCCGGAAAGCCAGCGTCGGGACGTTGCGACGTTAGGCTGCAAAGAAAATGGCTCCGTAACCCGCCCTGTACAAAAAGCCTGTTTGAAAAGCCAGTTTCAAGCGGTACATACTTGAAGTTGGGGGCGTTCATCAGCCCATTCATAGCTGGTAGGGCTCATGATGGTGTCCAACTTTCCAGTTCTCAGGGAGCATCCAGCCTGGGTCACCGATGCCTCATCTTCGATTTCGTCGCGCAGGCGTAAACCTCTCCTAGCCACCGTAGAGTCGGGTGTGAAAACTGAAGCTACGGAGGTTTACCCGGGTTGTTTATCCGGTTCACCCTACCAGAAACCATGGGAGTGAAGTATAACACACCCGGTAACACCTTAATCACGGTTCTATGTTCGAAAGTGTCAGGAGATCCATCAAGCCAGGGTTGTTTAAGTCATCCTCATAGCAAGATTGCGGTGATTCTTAGCTGGTAACTCTGAATACCAGCAATTCCACCAGCAACGGCTGGGAAGGGCTGGGTCTGTGATCCTGTTGGCTGAAGTCCGAAGCTTTCCAGGGAGCAGAAACTGAGATTAGACAAGTTTTCCCCTCACAACTGTCAGAAATCTAGGAACACTTCTGGTGGAGTCACCCATGGCAAAACTTTCCACAAATATTGGTCAAGTAGGATCATCCCAAGTACGACCGAAACTTTTGGAAATAACATGAAATAACCCATCGGAGTAGTAGGTCAGTAGGTCACAAACCCACAGAATTCCGGAGATTCTCCTCAAGGAATATTTGATCACTTGAGTGCAATACTTCATGTAGTGCCACTTTGAATAGTAGACCTGCGGCAGCAGCCAGGCAGGGCCAGACCGACTTTCCGCTCCAAGAGCTATCCAAATTCCCTTGAATTGGGATAAGCGTTTGTAAACCACACCCCAAGAATACAATGCTTTATGTAATGTAATGTAATGTAATGTAATGTAATGTAATGTAATGTAATGTATGTATATATCTATGCATCTATGTATGTATGTATCTATGTATCTATGTATCTATGTATCTATGTATCTATGTATCTATGTATCTATGTATCTATGTATCTATGTATCTATGTATCTATGTATCTATGTATCTATGTATCTATGTATGTACGTATCTACGTAGCTACGTAGCTACGTATCTACGTATCTACGTAGCTATGTATCTATGTATCTATGTATGTATGTATGTATGTAGGTAGGTAGGTAGGTAGGTAGTTATGTTATGTTTTGTTTTGTTTTGTTATGTTATGTTATGTTATGCATGTATTGTATAGTATTATATAGTATAGTATTAGTATTAGTATTAGTATTAGCATTAGTATTAGTATTAGTATTAGTATGTATAGTATGTATAGTATGTATAGTATGTATAGTATGTATAGTATGTATAGTATGTATAGTATGTATAGTATGTATAGTATGTATAGTATGTATAGTATGTATAGTATGTATAGTATGTATAGTATGTATAGTATGTATAGTATGTATAGTATGTATAGTATGTATAGTATGTATAGTATGTATAGTATGTATAGTATGTATGGATGGATGGCTGGATGGATGTATGGATGTATCGATGTATGGATGTATGGATGTATGGATGTATCGATGTATGGATGCATGCATGCATGCTATGTATGGTATGGTATGGTATGGTATGGTATGGTATGGTATGTATTGTATTGTATTGCATTGCACTGTATTGTATTGTATTGTATTGTATTGTAGGTGTGTGTGTGTATGTATGTAATGTAATGTAATGTAATGTAATGTAAAGTAAAGTAATGTAATGTAATGTAAATGTAATGTAATGTAAGTATGTATGTGTGTATGTATGTATGTATGTATGTCTGTCTGTCTGTCTGTCTGTCTGTCTGTCTGTCTGTCTGTCTGTATGTATGTATGTATGTATGTAGGTATGCACGTATGCACGTATGCACGTATGCATGGGTGCATATATGCATGGGTGCATCTATGCATGTATGCATGTCTGTATGTATGAATGTATGTATGGCAGTGTAATGTCATGCAATGTCATGTAATGTCATGTAACGTAATGTTATGTTATGTTATGTATGTATGTGTATATACTATACATATTATACATATATATATATTATATACATACATATCAAAACACATATTATATATACATATGATATATACATACATATACATAATATATTTATATACATACTATATATATATATACATAATATATATATACATACTATATGTACATGTTGTATATACATATTATATATACATATATACATACATATTATATATACAAATTATATATACGTATTGTATATACATATTATAGATATATATATATATATATATACATATATATATACATATTACATATACATATTATATAATCCATATTATATAATCCATATTATATATATATACAGATATATGCATGTGTATATCTAATCTCCATTACTCATATTACATCATGTTACATCATATTACATCATATTACATCATATTACATCATATTACCTCATATTACATCATATTACATTATATTACATCATATTATATCATATTACATCATATTGCATCATATTACCATGTATTACATCATATTACCATGTATTGCCCATCAAGATCCACTAAGTACAGTGAAACCCCAAGTTGGTGAGATCTGACCCCACCTGGTTCTGCCGATTGATGGTTCTGGTGTGCGTCGGGAACTCTCGGCCTTCAAGCCGTTGGGCAATGGACCCACCGTCCTATGCGGGGTGGGTCATATTGCTTAATGATGCTTAATGTGGTAAACCCAAAGCAATAACCTACAATTTGGGGATGGTTTGTACAACCCATTTATGGTGATTCTGGGGATGGTTTATACAATCCATTTATGGTGATTTTGCGGATGGTTTTTATTATAGGGTTTACCATGGTTTACCACGGTTTACCACATTACCCAACTAGCAAAGCTTGGGAATCACACAATTTTTCTTACCAGGCGGTCACTTGTCAGTCGGGAAACTTGCCCGATCTGCGAACCGCGAACGAGGGTAAGTTTCACGGCGAAACAACATCCCTTCCTTTTGGTCCCCCAACAGTTAATCTGAGTATGACCTGCATATCTTTCATACTCCAACTTGGGTATCTATCAGAATCTTGTGATCCAAAATCTCGCCGATGCTGCTGCTCCCGGGCTGCCGGACGCACGCTGCGCGCGGCCTTCTGAATGGCATCGTTCTGACGCGCCATGCGCCGCAGGGCATTGAACTGCCTGGCAGAGGTGGTTTGGCTGTGGCATTTTTTTGGTGGTGACCCCAACATGGGTCCTCAATTTGACCGCTAGAATGTCACGTGTATTTCTGCATCACCTGCATATTATGTATAATCTGACACATGTCTTTTTCAAGGGGCATTCACTGAGATCTGATTGTTTGAGAAGGCCACAATGTGTATGCCCTGTGCGCAGGTCTTCCTCGCTATCGCTATCGTTTTGCTCTGAACCTCGCACCTACCATTTCATGGTACGAGTACCATCTGAAAAGAAGCCAAATGTTATTCTTAAATACTCAGCTTAATCCCATTTATTATATACAATAATGGTACATATATCATATACTCAGCTTAAGCTAACAATGGTATACCATGGTACAGCACTTCTTCATGATCCCCACCGACAGTGCCCATCAGCCATGCCCGGCAATGGAGCTGAAGACGATTCCCGGAAAACACAGAGGTCATCCTGAAGCTATCATTAACTGATGAATTGACCATGATTTCTCAATGATTAGTGTATGTGTATATATATAGAGAGAGAGAGTGTGTATGTATATATATATATAGTGTATATATAGTGTATATATAGTGTATATATAGTGTATATATAGTGTATATATAGTGTATATATAGTGTATATATATAGAGAGAGAGGGAGTGTATGTATATATATATATATATAGAGAGAGTGTATGTATATATATATATAGTGTGTATATATATATAGTGTATATATATAGTGTATATATATAGTGTGTATATATATATAGTGTATATATATAGTGTATGTGTATATATACATAGTGTATATATATAGTAAATATATATATATATGTAGTGTATATATAGTGTATGTATATATAGTGTATATATATAGTATATATAGTGTATATATAGTGTGTGTATATATATAGTGTAAATATAGTGAATATATAGTGTATATATATACATAGTGTATATATATATAGTATATATAGTGTATATATATAGTGTGTATATATATATTGTGTATATATTTATATATAGTGTATATATATATATTGTCTACATATATATATATAGCGTGTGTATATATGTAGTGTATATATAATCTGTATGTATACAATATATATATATATTGTGTATATACATATATAGTGTATATAATTACACATATCGAGAGAACGTGTTTAGTCGCCCCAATCCTTTTGCTGATAAGAATCCGCTCAGCGCGTATACAGTTGAACACGAACGTTACTAGGGGGCTTGTGAAATGTGCACAACTTCTGTGACATGTGCACAACTTCTGTGAAACGTGCACAACTGCTGGGAAACGTGCACAACATCTCTGACACGTGCACAACATCTCTGAAACGTGCACATTTAGAATACTTGAAAACACTGGGTGGGGGCGGTGAAACACGTTATACCCACATGGGACCCACATATATATATATAGTGTATATATATAGTGTATATATGTATATATATAGTGTATCTACATGTATGTCTATATATATAGTGTATATACATATATATTATATGTAATTATATATATATATACATATAGTGTAGATACATAGATATAAATATATAAATATATATATATACATACACAATTATATGCACATCATATCCATCAACCTCCTTTCACAAATGGGGGTGTCTGAAGCACCTGATGGCATCGTTGGGGCGATCTGCATTCACCAAGGCTGATGGTGCGATCCTGGGGCTGAACGTCATGGGGATCCCCCTTCCAGCAGATAGGAGAAAGAGAAACTTTAGGAAGCTTTGGAGAGAAATGATATTATGAAAATTACAGTTCATCTTTGAAACATGTTAAAACTAGCAAGGTGTTTTTTTGTGCGGGCTATTGGAACAAGTTGGACCAGCTTGTTCGAAGGTCACCCACTGCAACCTTTACCCCCCGCGTCTCGGGATTTTTTTCCACGGGTAGGTGAAATGATTGAACAATGGCGGTCAACCAACCCAAATGGGTGAATAAATATGGTTTGGTTGGTGATTTAAGCAACAATAAATATGGGTTACCTCGGTTTACCGCAAAATCTGAATTGTTGCAGGGCCGTAGGTTCTGATGGTTCTGATTCGCCACACAGAAGTTTGCCCCAAAATTCCACCTTTGCCAATGGTTGCATGGGCAAAGAACACACAGCTTCAGGTTGGAATAACACCAGTGCTTCTTGCTTACCCACCCAAAAGAATTTGGATATCAACCCAACATCCAATTTCAGGAAAACAGCTTCTTGCTTGCCAGTGGCATATCTCGCGGCATGGCATTGATCCATTCTGGCCGGTCCCCAGCATTGTATCCCATGAGCATCGGCAATCTCCCACAGTGCTACATCTTCTTTACACCGTTTCGCCAAGGATTGAAGCACCTAATAATGGGCAGTTTCTGTCCATTTACTGCTGATGATGGCAGGGTTGTACTCCCACTTGGTGCAATATAAAACGACCACCCTGGCCCAAAACGACATGCCGGTGGCTCTTCGACAAATCACCGATCTTCGCAAAGCCATGGCGCCAATGGAGGAGCAGATGGATGAGGCCGATATATGGCTGGGAATTCGAGGGCTTGGGGTATCAAAATGTTGTCGCCGTTGTGACGATGTAAAATATATTATGATATCAACTGATATGAAAGAGGTCCATTCACAAGCAAATGATAATGTATGATAATGTATGCTGTTTTTGTAGGTGGGTGTTTTCTGGATGTTAGCAGACACCTTCTGATGCCGCTGACAGTTTTCAGTTCTGGGCCAAATCAGAGCCAACGTCCACCATGTGGCACCCGGCATAGGAAAACGCAACGCTTGGGAAGACATGGGAAGACCATCTGCCACGGCCGTCCGAACTGGATCCGTTGCTTCTTTTACCAGTGGTGTGACACGGAGAAAGGTACAGTGGCTGGAACATCCACGGCGCTGTTCGTTCTCGGCATTGCTGCATGTTGGATCTTGGAAAGCTACTCTTGGAAGACACAACAGGAGCAGTGTGAGGAGCATTGCAGGGTCACCAAATCTAATTGGCTCATGGTTCGCAGGGAAATTCACCTGTAGGTTTCTATCCCCTATGGGAGCAGTTGTACCTGGCTGGAAAATACTACAGAGATGGCTGGCAATGTGGTACAAAGATTGGACCATGAAACCAATAAATGGGGAACCTCAAAGTCCCAAAGTTGGGGAAGACTTGAGGGATTCCTGATGTGTTTGAAATGTCAACTGAGCATTGAGGTTACATCTTGCAAATGCGTTTGATGGAGCCTTTCCGCTTCAATCATCCACAGCCTACTTGGTGACGTTGGGACATGTTGGGACAGTCCAGCCATTGGATCCGGGCAGTCCCTGTTCAAACAGGGACCAAAAAAGAGGCGACCATTAACCCGCAATGCCTAGAGTGAGACATCCACACGGCCCGTTGCAGCGTTGCGGTTGGCAGTTGAAGCGTTCACAAAATGGATCTGTCTTAAGCTTGGATGCCCATTCTGTCCCATGGTTTATATAGACACATTCAGACATCCATGTTTCAATGGCCACATGGTCGGGGTCGCAACTGGTCACGCGTCGCGAAATCTCGCGGACCGCAGGCCCTTTGGGCGAGCGGGATCCGAATTCCGCCTGGCCGGGGCAGAAGATCATCAGCCACTTCTGCATGATTTGATATGATCTGGATATAATGGGTATGGGGGAGGCATCCATCAGCCTACCAGCAGAAGTGTACCAGCTATGAATTGAAACGGAAGGGTACCAAGGTGTTGATCCCACCTATCGAAAATTGGGAGGGCAACGTGGAATGGAAATCTCGGTTCCCGGGTGTCGAACGGAAAATGGTTGGGTTTTTTCCCTTCACTGCCCTGTCTGCATTAAATTTCAATCTCGGTACATATCCAGGATGCAGAAACTATTTTCACAAATGACTGTCAATATGAGAACCAAACATATGGCTACGGCTCAAAAATGTGGTGCAAATGGATCCAAAGTGGTTTGCTTCACTATCCCATTTCGTACACGGTAGTTAATGCTAAGGTATAGTCAACGTCCACCAAAAAGATGGAAGAGATTTTAGACATGGATTCTACTTTTCCACTGGTTTTTCCAGAAATTATATCAACTTGCTATAATTAATTATACTATAATGGTTCACTATGGGGTATATATATATAAACCATCCCTTTTTCTCTATGCTTCACCGCCTGCAAGAATCAGCTGGAGCCAGCATCCGAGCCCTCAGGATGGACCCAGTTTTGCCGGGCTTTTTACCAAGGGGCTGTACGACGTAAACTTCCCCTTAGACCAATGCAATGGTTAGAAAATGGCTTGGAACATCCCGAAAGTATCAAAGATGTGGGATAGAATTGATGTAATAACCGAAATGGGTTATAGTTATATATAAGTTATAATCCAAATGGGTTATAATCTCAATAATGGGACAGTGGGTTGGGGGTCTTATAAGAATGATGCTTGTGGAGGGAATGATGGAAAATCCTGTTGTGGTACGACAAATCCTGTGTCAGTGAGCCATGGTCCGACACCAAGCACATCCTGCACTCCGTGATCTTCGCTGTTTCTGATCATGGCCAACAACCCATTGAGCCTAACTCACGCTACTCCCTACACTGCCGCTAACATGATCTGCCGCTACTTTGGATTCCAACGATTCCACAGATTCCCTGTTATCCGATGAATGTTGATCCACTATGACCAGCATAGGCCCTACTCAGTCCCGAAAAAAAAATGATTTTTCGTAACCCTTTGAAGGATCATCTGGTCATAACCAACGTTTTTTTTCAATCTGTCAGATTTGAAATATTTCATCGCCACTCATCACCATTCATCACTATAGAACCTATATGAACCTATGGATCACCATTCATCACCATGAATCACCTCGATCCTGGCCACAAGTTCCCCGAATCCCAGCACCGTTCCCAGCACAGTTCCGCACCAGCGGTGTGGCCACACGCGTCAGGGGTAAGGAGCCAAGGCCAGACCTTTGGAGAAATTGGCCGACGGATTTTGGAGTTACTACTGCTGCTACAAGTGGGTCAGGCTGAGGTGTTCCCAAGATTTTGAAGTTGAACCATCCAAAATATGGATTAACCATGGAAAATGTGGACTTATCATCAAACATGGCGATATCTCAACCATCTATGGTTCGAGATTGCATTTTGATATAACAAACCAGAATGATAAGTAATGGGAACTTAAAGTAACAATCCACATGTTTAGTCATGTTCAAAGGCTGAACCAAAGGTTCCGCACCCCCGATTTGGTTCGAAACGGCCGTTTGGGTATGGATGACCCATCGCCCCCAGCGATCGGTTGATGCTCCAAACGAATCGCCTCTGGAAATCTAGCCGCCAACGATCGAAAATGAACAGTTTCACCAGGTAAATCATCTACATTCCTGAAAACTGCCAGCCATATAGGATGACCAAAAGATAGTTTCTGTAGGTAAAAAGTGACAACTCCCATTGTTCTTGATGCAATCCCCGGCCCTTCCAATGCCCTCTGGGCCCTCCCGACACACTGGGACTTGGCGGCGGGATGTAGGGCGGAGGAGGCGGAGGAGCCTGCCATCATCACCATATGATAGATGTATGCAGCATATGTGTATATATAATTATACATATATATATAAGATATGCACATTCATTTCATCACCACCATATATACATAATTTTTCATCCCCAGATGAAGAAACCATAGTTGATTGCTTAGAGGGGCCCACGGAAATGGGGATAATTGGCTACTGAAATGATAATCCCCGAATTAAACAGCCTAGCAGCCTAGGTGTTTATTCATCGGGGGTTGACATTACAGCGTACCAGCATCACATCTCAATTTTCCTTTTTGTTGGGATGTGACTACTTTGTATTGTTGAATTGGGGTGATTCGGATAGTGAATCTCAATGAAATTATCGTAATAACGGGTAGACAGTGGAAAAAAAAAACTTTGACTACAGCGAAAAAAGTTTCACCCCTTCTCTCCACACTGGAAAAAACTTTAAGACACTGGGAAAAAACACTGAAGATTGTCCCAGCAAGGGACCCCAAACACTATGGGGGGCGTAAAAGGAGAATGTATTATAATGTTGATGATGATGTTAACGTTGATGATTATTATGATGAGATGGTGATGATGATGATGATGATGATGATGTGGTGCGAGTCTGCGCAGTCGAAATACACACGAACATTTCACAAGAGCCATTTTGTGTATAAATTTACAGGAACAGTGCCGTACGCCAATCCCGCGACACCCGTTTTGTGCGAACCTGTGCAGTCAAATGCCATTTTGTATGGAAATTTACAGGGGAAATGGCCGAGGACACCTCCGTGGCCAGCGTTTTGTGCCGAGGACACCTGCGCGGCCAGCGTTTTGTGCGAGCCTGCGCGGTCGAAATGCACATGGACATTTCACAAGAGCAATTTTATATGGAAATTTACAGGGAAAATGCCACGCGCGACGGATACCACCTGGATTGAACACCGGGCATTAACTGTTACCGTAAGTCAGTGTGCCACACTGTTTGGGGAAATCTCATGAAATCTCTACTTTGAGTATTTTTTGCAGCTGAAATCTCTTTTTCGTACAATATTTGCAGGGTTTTGGAACTTAAATACGCAATTTGCATGGTATTTAAAGCGTTTTGGCATTGAATCACTTGTTTGCATAGTGCTCGCAGCATGTTGCAGCCAGCAGGGGAATATCTGCAGCATTTCGTGGTATTTGCAACATATTGTCTAGAGTTAGTTTTCAGATTTATTTCAGGTTGGTTTAGGGTGTATTTGGGGATTATTTCTGGTTGATTTTAGGGTTTCTGCACGGTTTGTTTGGGCGTGTGTTTTTTTAAATTGTTTTACGGTTTTGATTTGGTTGCTTTGGGTGTTCTTTGTTTTTTTAGCTGTACTTCGACTTGTGGTATTTATAGTCTTGATTCGGGGTTCGTTTGGTGTTTGTTTGATGTCGATTTAAGGTTGTTGTAGTGTGAATTTAGTGCTGGTTTGGTGCTTCTTTCGGGTTGTTTTAGGGTCTATTGAATGTTGGTTTAGACTTTGTTTAGGAGTAGTTTTAAAGTCTATGTCGGTTTTTGTTTTGTAGTGCATGGGTTTATTTAGTGCTGGTTTAGGGCTTAATTGTATGGCTTACCGTATTTAGGCTTTGCTTAGGGTTTATTTGGATTGCACTATACATTTAAGATTTAATTTTGGTTTATTTATGGTTGTTTTGGTGTTTCTTTATGTTTACGTGGGTGTGGGTGTGTGTGGGTGTGTCATATAGGGCCGATTTATGGTTGGTTTGGTGCTTGTTTGATGTTGTTTTAAGGTTTACTTAGTGCGTGTTTAGGTTTTAGGTATCATTTGGGGGCTTAGTTGGAGTTGTTTAGTTGTTTGGATGTTTTTGTTGGCGCTTCTTTCAATTCGTTTTAGGGATATTTATGTAGGACGCTTGGTTTAGGCTTTATTGAGGGTTGGCTTGTGGCCAATTCAAAGGACGGGATCAAGAGGACGGGAAAGGGACCAGAAGGTGGACCAAAGGACCAGGG